GATAATATAAAAATGGAACTGGAGCAATGGAGAGCAACATGCTCGCACGTTCATAAATGTAATGCAATTTCAAGTAGAACTTTATTTAATTGAGTATTTCGGTGTTAAGGTTGTCATCAGGGCATGCACACACACACACACACGCACACTCCCAAAGCATGCGAGCTGCTAAAGCTTTGCATAACTTTGTGCGTTATTTGGGCACAAGCTGCTTTTGCGGTTGCTCATTGTCTGAAAGAATTTAAATGGAATTGGACTAAGCCGGGGCCAGAGCCAGGCGCAAATATGTCAAAAAATGACACCAGCTGAAAACGGCATTTCCAGAGATTAGTTTATGGATTTTAATTGGAGTGTGAATCCGAATCTAAATCGAGCGAACTGTATTAACTGACTGCTTAGAGCTAAAGCTTTAAGTGAGCTTAATTTTATAAGCACAGTTAACTTAAAGCTCAAAGCTTTGTACATTAAAAAAGCGCTTAGATCGACAAATATCACAATGCACACAAAATAAGATAAAATTCCAATCAGGCCTTTCAAATAATACGACTTTAACTTAAACTTAAACTGAAATGAACATTTTTTATTATTCAAAGTAATATTTTAAAAAATAAATTGGTTTGCCAATTGAATTCCGAGTGCAAATATGATTCGGCGGGTAAATTGCAAAATGGACTCGTATCTAAACTTGCAACAGCCATAAAAAAAAAGAAGAAAAACACATGCTATAGAATAAACATGAAGCAGCACAGCAGGCGGAAGGGAAGCATCGTGGGCCACAAGCTCGCATGAGTTTATTACAAGACATTATCTGGCAGCTAACAGGAGTAATATATGTGCATGTGTGTGTGCGTGTGTGCGTGCAGTGAAGCATCATTTTATTTATGCCCCAAAATGCGGCGCAATGAATAATTATGCAAATGGGTCACACAGCTAACGGTCAAGCCGACTGGCAAGCGAGGCAAAAGGATTTGGCTCTGACCACAGCCAGCAGCCGGCAAGTGGCAGGCAGCAAGTGGCATGCCCCAAAGCGGGCGCTGCGGCTGCAGCAGTAACAAATTACAAGTTTACACAATTTGCCAAGCACTTAAGCCGCATGGCGCGGCCAACGAATGCAGCTTGGCCAAAATATGACCATTAATGCTTAACATTTAGCTTAAGTCCAGTTTAAGTGCAACAAAAAAAGCAAACATATATAAAGAAGACTGCTCTGGTCGGGAGTAGCCGACTAGCTGATGCCCTGAAGCAACAGATTAAAAAAAAAAATAAATAGCCCTTTCGGGGTTTGCCGAGGTCTCATGCTCCAAAGCCGTCCCAACTGCAATTCTATTTATAGAATTCAAGATAGACACGCTTGCAAATGTATGGGTGAACATATATACAGGGTGCACATATATACAGGGTGCACATATATACAGGGTGCACATATATACATGCTGAATATATATACATGGTGCACATATATACAGGGTGCACATATATACAGGGTGCACATATATACATGCTGAATATATATACATGGTGCACATATATACAGGGTGCACATATATACAGGGTGCACATATGTATATACAGGCTGCACATATATACAGGGTGCACGTACATATATACAGGGTACACATATATACAGGCTGAAAATATATACAGGGTGCACATATATACAGGGTGCACATATATACCGGCTGCACATATATACAGGCTGCACATTTATGCAGGGTGCACATATATACAGGGTGCACATATATACAGGGTGCACATATATACAGGGTGCGCATATATACAGGGTGCACACATATACAGGGTGCACATATACAGGGTGCACATATATACAGGGTGCACATATACACAGGGTGCACATATATACAGGGTGCACAGACATACATGCTGCACATTTATAGAGGATGCACATATATACAGGCTAAAATATATACAGGGTGCACATACACATATACAGGCTGCACATACACATATACAGGGTGCACATATATACAGGGTGCACATATATACAGGGCGCACTTTGTGCTTGCAGCCATATTGCTTGCACACATTTCCTTTAATAACTTCTGTGTTTCTCAACCGATCTTGATGAAATTTTCAGCATAAGATCTTCTTATGCTATGGAATCATCGTACATTCAAAAAGACAATTGCATTTAAATTACAATGTACATTCATGACGTGTCAGGAGAGAGGCTTGCTAAAGTTATAAAATGAAAGAAACTATTCTAGAAGCAGCATGTCGCATTTGATGTCTCCAGCTTCTAAAAACCAAAAGATTTGCTCCGAAAAACGGATTTCGATATCTATTCTTAAGGATTGTTTGAAAACGAGGCAAGTTGTCAATTATCGGTAACAAAACTAATACTGCATGAGCACTAGGAAAACCTACTTTCAAGTCTCTCGCTCTTATAGATTCTAAGATCGACGCGTTCATACATACGGAACGACAGACGGACGGATAGACAGACAGACGGATCGACTCGACTTCCTGAGCTCGAAGATGCTTCCGTCTGCCTGTTACATGCGTGTGCACAAAGCACATGATACCCCTTCTTAAACATTTTCAATGGGTTCAGGGTATAAAAATGCTTAAATGTCGCTGGCAGTCATAGATTTGGCCAAAAGTTTGCGCCATTGTTTTTGCCCAGCAGAGTCCAGTGAAAATAATTAACAACTTTTTGCCTGCTGGCCAAAGATTTTCAACTTGTTCCTAGGTTTTTTTGTTTTTTGTTTTGATTTTATTTTTCTCGCGCCTTTTGTCGCCCGAGTTGGCCGTTCAAGTTTTTCAGCGCAAACTTTTTTTGTTGCCTTTTGATAGAACGTTCAACTTTTTCTGCGTCTGTCGCACTTTGATATTTGAGATCTTTTTAGCTCCAGCTTTGGCTGTCTGGCAGCTCATGAAAATGTGCGCCCAAAGTATCTACGCAAAACTCACAGCTTAATCGTTTGCAGTGTTGCGATACCCTGTAAAAACTGCTGCTAAAGAGTGTATAAAAGAATGGCAGCAAAAAGGACTTCTCTGTGAGATTTATACAGAGCTTAACAAGAGAGCTTAACAATAAGCAGAAATCTAACTTAAATATTCAATACAATATTATTATTATTTATTTTTATTATTTAAATAAGCTCAGCATACAAATAATCTGTGCTTAGTTATTGTTTTTAACTTATGCGACCAACAATTAGATAATACAGGGTATTTGCTAGTCGCGCACTCACGCGAGTCGTCAAATTCGCATTCATGAACTTGAAACTTGAGAAATGCGTATAATTTTGACTTGAAACCAAAACAAACTTTCCTAAGAGCAGATCTCTTTAAATTATATATACATATATATAGGCACTTATACATATATATGTTTAAATAGTATTTATTACATATGTATATCCGAGGCAGCTGCTGCTGGCGAATAAATCAATATCGCATTAACTGCTTAGTCGGGCAAAACTTTTTGCCTAAATATGCCAAGGCACATAAATAACGAAATGTCAAAAAGTTTTTGTCCAACATTTCTTTGGCCAAATTAAACTTCACAGTCAACTGCAAATGTTACGGCCATTTGGATATTGGACATGCGAAATTCTTTCCAACAATTTGTTGCTTCAAGCACTCTTTTTTTTTTGCTAGACTCTAATTGGACAATTAATTAACACACTCATCAAAGATTTTACCTTGATTTGCCTCGGTCTTTAATTAATTATTCATTATTAATTAATATGCTTTACACTCAATCTAATTTTATTTTTCGAGGCGAGCTTAAGTCTGCGGCCTTAACAGATTAAATAGATAATAAATGTATGTATGTAAAGACACAGCACAGCAAGAAGAAGATAAATGTAAAAAAAATATATATATATGTATATGTACATATGTTTACATTTACGTATGTTAATATTGCATCTTTACACCAGAGGGCGCTTACTTGTTAAAGAAAAGCTTTGGCACACTCACCTCACTCTCTCTCTCTCTTTGTCTCACACTCTCCTTTTTATCTTTCATTCTGTCTGTCTGTACATGCAGTTCCAAAGCGCACTTTTTTATTATCTTCTGCAAAACAACCAAACACGCGTCGCTTACGGCTTTTCTATCATGTTAACGCATTACTGTAACACATTGCAATTACACACACGACACACACAACTTAATGCGTTAAGCTGCAAACTAGCTAATTATACTTTTTACAAAACGATTTTACATACAAGCGCGGTTAGCACATGCGATCAATTAGGCAGACGCGCACAAACTAAATTCAACTCTGCGCTAAGCCGGCTTTTGCATTATCCGTTATCCACAATGTTCGCTCATAACGTTCTAAGATAACGGAACCAAAGGCATTTCAACCAATGACGTGAGCTCAGCGTGCATTCAAATTATCCCTCCCGCTCACAGCACTCTTTCTGCAGTCTACATATGAAACGGGATCAAAAGCAGCATTGTTTTATCCATTGCCAATGAGTAGTAAGAATTACTCAATGATCTTTTCCAGTATTATCCACCATGTTCACAAAATCCACAATATCCACTCCCCGGATAAACGCTCTGCACTAGCGCTAAATGCAGATAATACACAAATATTTCTATTAATCAGTATATTAATGATTTATATAGTTTTGTAACATTTTTTCTCCATAAATAATTTATATAAATGCTTTATTTGCGCTGCATTGATTAATTAAATAAAATGGAGCAACCAATTTACTAAATCTCTTAAATTAGTATGAGTACAATTTTTTAGATTCTAGATTCTAGAATCTAGATTCAGTTCTAGATTCAGTTCAAATAAAATAACTTGAAAAGGACAAAGATTTTGTGTTTTCTTTAATAAAAAGTTCTCTCAGAAAAGTAAATCATTTTCACTCAAAATAAATGTAATTCAAATAAAATCTTTGGTTCTCTCGATGCATATATATAATTTCCAAATTAATAAATTGGACAACAACAAAAGGAAGAAGCTGCACGCTTTATAATTGGAAATTTGGAAATTTAAAGGAAATTTGTTTAGGATACAAAAATAATTAATTAAATGCAGCCGAATAATGCAATTTCCTGTGTGTCTTTAGCTTGATTAATGAGAGACTCAACTGCGAAGTCTGCACATAGAATAAACTTTTAATTAGAATGCAAAATGATTAATTAGCCAAAAGTGTGTGGCAGCTAGAGCCTGCCCCGCAGCCAAGGCAAGAGCAGAGAAATTTCAATGAGGCTCCATTGAAAACAAATCTGTCACACTTATTTGTTGCACCTGCTGCGCAGAGCTTAGGGGCTGTTCTTATCAGTTTTTCTGGCCACATACTTAATCCAGAACTTTTGCTTGGGCACCATCTGGAAGCCCAAGATGTCGCCCATCATGTCCTTGGTAGTTTTCTGTGCTGGCAGCAGCTCGAACTTGGACAGCAAATGATATATCATAGACTTGACCTCCATGAGGGCCATACGATTTCCTGGAAAAAAGATAACTCCTATATAGAAATCGGCTTATTATATATACATATATATGGTTATATGGCACAAACCAATGCAATTACGTGGTCCCACGCCGAAGGGCAGATACGAGAATTGCTGAATTTCATGTTTGTTTTCGTCCGAAAAACGTTCGGGCCTGAACTCTTCGGGCTCTGCGAAATGTTCGGGATCATAATGTAAGCCCATAATGGGTATAAATATGCGATCGCCCTGCTTTAGAGAGACCACAATTTGATTGTTTTCATCCCGTAAATCGATATCTGCATTGCAGCCGCGATCGGTTCTCGATGCCGGCGGCCATTTGCGTAATACTTCCGATACGACCATGTCCATGTACTTCATGTGCATAAGTGTGTCATAGTCGAGGGGTTTACCCTGCAATTGCTGCTCCACACTCTGAATTTCGTCGTAGAGCTGCTCTTGCACCGCCGGATTCATGCACAATTCATAGGTGCAAAAGCAGAGGCAGGTGGAAACCGTCTCGAAGCCCGCGGCAAAGAAGAGCAGGCACTGGGCCAGCAGATCGTCATCCGAGAACTTCTTGCCCGACTCGGCATCGTCAGCCTTGCGTTGCGCCTCCATCAGCAGATGAATCATATCGGGTCGTATTATCTTGTGCTCCACACGATATTTGATGGCATCAAAAACCAGGGATCTAAAATAATTGACAGTCGTTTCATCCAGAATGCTGACTCGCAAAGCCTGTGCGAGGGAAATTGAGAAAAATTTAGAACTGAGAAAACTGTATTATGCCATGCAGACCTTCATTAATCTGGGTATAAAAATGTAAAGTATCGCCTTGAGCATGACCACAGGCTTGACCTGGGTCACAGTCTGACCAATTTGAAAGAATTTGTTGTCCTTCTCCTCAAACGAGTTGACCTTGATGCCAAACGCAGTCGAGGCGATGACATCGTTGGTGAAACGCGTAAAATAATCCTTCATTTCCAGCTCGATGCCATCGCCCGGCGCCTCTTTTAGCTGTTGTTCAATATATGCCACGCCCACCTCACTGCAGACATTGATCAGCTCGTACATGGCACGCATTTTGATGCCGGTAAAGGTGGGCGATAATATATTACGCATTTCCCGCCATTCGCGATCCTTTAGCCTCAGCAGACTCTTGGACAGCAGCGTCTTAATTTGCTCGGTGCCAACATGATTCGGGAAATGATCAAACTCCTTGATGCCCACAGTCTTGATCAGCTCCAGATCGCGCACCACAAATATCGGATCACGCAGAAAGAAAAAGCCATAAACTTTCGCGTCTCGAAATTGCCGATGCTCTTGGATTTGCCTGCTGAAGTGGGGCGCAGCACCAAACAGTTCCTTCAGGCCAATGTTGCCCAGCAGCGGGGTGGGCTTCGCATAGGGCACACCCCGCTGCTCAAAGATCTGGTAATTGGCCACGGACCATTTGTAGAGCAGCGCAAGCAATACGATCACGAGTGTACAAATAATTAAGAACATTTTTCTACTTTTTTTTTTTTATTTTAGATATGTTTTCTTTCAAGCATTCAACTGAGCGCTTCCAGCGCGCAAATGTTACTGAATTGTCAATAACAATACAGCAGTTCTTATATGACCTCATCGTTCTCTCTATATAAATATACATATACACACGTTATTGTTTACTGCGGCTCTCTCTATTAATTCTAATGCATAATATTTCTCTCGTTCTCTGGCTGTTATTTAATCTACTTCTCTCGTCTCTCTCTCTCGCGAACAAGCGAACAAATATATAAACGTTGCGACTCAACCTTAAAGCATAATCAATTACTCAACTGGTTTGTCTGGGGGTCTCTCAACATTTGATACAATTTCTTCTTATTATTATTATTATTATTGTTATTGTTATTATTATTATTATTATTATTAATATTATTATTATTATTATTATTATTATTATTATTATTATAATTATTATTATTATAATTATTATTATTATTATTATTGTTATTATTATTAGTATTAGTATTATTATTATTATTATTATTATTATTATTATTATAATTATTATTATTATTATCTATTTTAACTAATATTATTGGTATTCTTGTTTTTTAAGTTGTAGAGTATTTCAGCATTTACCAGTCAAATCGTTTTTTCGTACGCCAAGCTATGAAAAATCTATTACCTTTCGAGCAGTTCTCGAATAGTAAATATATACTCGCATATGAAAATCTTTTTATCTTTTTATACAGCTCCAAAATTTTGACCAATAATTTCTATCAATTGTTGATGCTATACTGATACTGAAATATATACATCGCAAAATATAAACAAAAAATCTGCGCCAAAGTTTTTTTTAGAACTTTCCATAGGTATAAACAAACGGACTAGCTATATGTTTCCAGACGGAAGTAATCTCTAATACTTGAGGCCAAAAAACTAGCCACGGGTAAGGTCGGGAAATAACCGTATATATATACGTACATAAGGGTTCGCAAAGTCTAACTTAATTCCTTACAAAAACTAGAAAACTTTTCGCTAGTGTATAAAAAGATAAGCAGTTGAACAACAAACAAAACAAATTGTGTTCCTAAAAATTCTTATCTGTTAATGCTTAGAGGTACTGAATGGCATGATATGATATCAGTAAAAATTGCACTTGAATATATATGAATAATATTATTATTATTTAAGTAACTTTACTATTGTTTAATGTTTAGTCAAATATAGTAGTACGTGGAATGGCATAGTTAAGTTAAGTACATTATAGCATATTATATAGTAGCTGTGAATGAAAGTAGTATTAGACCAATTTAAGCCCATTAACGAGTCACAATTTCAATCCCGAATGACAATGAATCATCTTTCTGATAGGAAAATGTCAATTTTTTCAATTTTCTTGATATTAATTATTGAATCAAACAAATTGTAGTCCATGACATTGAGCCCTTATCAATTGCTAACGCTTGAATTTATCGTTAATTTTTTTTTTGCAATCTTATCTAGTTTATTTATAGATAACATAGTTTTTAGGTTCAGGCGAAAGGTTCCATATAGATTTAGGCAGCTTCTCGGGGCACCAATTTAATCCAAAACTTTTGCTTGGGCTGCATATTGAAACCCTTCAAGCTCTGCATCATATTCTCGACCGTTTTCTCAGCTGGCACCAATTGAAATTTACTCACCAGATGATAGATTATGGATTTTACTTCCATCAAAGCCATTCTATTGCCTGAAAAGCATTTTGCATGGGTTGAAATTTTGAAATTTTATAAATTTAAGCCTAGCATAAAGCCTACCTATACAGCTGCGCGGTCCTAGGCCAAAGGGCAGATACGTAAACGGCTTGATGTTGCCTTTGTTTTCCTCCAAGAAACGCTCGGGCTTGAATAGTTCGGGTTCCGGAAAGTTGTCAGGATCACGCTGCATTGCTATAATGGGTATTACTACAACGTCGCCCTTCCTGAACTTGGCCAGCAATTCCCTGTTCTCATCGAACATATCAATATCCTTGCCGCACACACGATCCAGACTAAACGCAGGTGGCCACAAACGCAACAACTCGGATATAACCAAATCCATATACTTCATCCTAGACAGCATATTATAGTTGAGCGGTTTGCCCTGCAGCTCCTGTCCCACCGATAGAATCTCTTCATATAGTTTCGCCTGAACTGCAGGATTCTGGCAGAGCTCGTAGGTGAGAAAGCAGAGACTCGCTGACATTATTTCAAAGCCCACAAAGAAAAATAATAAACACTGCGCCAACAGATCCTCATCGTTGAACTCGGCGTGCTCCGTCGAGTGCTCCGGTATGCCATTTTGCTGAAACTGACGCTTGGCCTCCATCAACAAGTGTATCATATCGGGTCGTATTATATTATGTTCGGTGCGATATTTCATGGCATCGAATACGAGACTGTTAAAGTAATCGATTTTCTTGGCATTGAAGAGCTTAATGCGCAGGGCCTAAACGAATTGTTAATTGTGTTATTATAACTATAATATAAGTATTAATTACCTTCATAACACTGGGCATTATGCCATACAGGATAACCTTGAGCATGACTAGATATGAAAAATGCGCCACCGATTTTCCAAGCGTATAAAACTGATTCTTTTTATCCACAAAAGAGTTGACTTTAATGCCAAACGCCGCAGAGGCTATCACATCATTGGCAAAGCGTCCAAAGTAGTCCTTCATTTCCAGCTCGATCTCTCCGGTGTTTGTCTTCAGCAGCTCCTCCTCAATGTAACGCACACCCTCCACGCTGCACTCGTTGATCAGCTCGAACATGGCCTTCAGCTTGCTGCTCGTAAATGTTGGTGTCAGGGTGTTGCGCATTTCCCGCCACTTGTCGTCCTTGAGCTCCTTCAGGCTCTTCGTGAACATCGATGCGCCCGCCTCGGGTATCATGGGGCGATGATTGATGAAATGCTCAAAGTCCTGTATGCCCACGCGCTTGATTAGCTCCACATCGCGCAGCACAAAGAACGGCTCACGCATATTGTAGAAGCCATAGATCTTGTGACCCTTCAACTCTATATACCGATCGACGAGTAATTTCAGAAACGGCAACCGTCCCAGCAAAACCAACAAACTTATGTTTCCTATAAGCGGCTTTGGCGTATCGTGAACAATGCCGCGTTCCCTGAACGTCTTATACGGAGCCATGGATATTTTATAGAGCAGCACGCATAAAACCAGCAAAAAGGTCAAAACGATGAGCACCATTTTTGGAACTGATTAAATCAAGTGTTCGATCAAAACTGAACTCATCTGTCTGACTAAATCGGTTATAGATGTCGTATATAATCAGGCTTTTTGTATATTTAATCTAAAAGATAATTGCTGAAGCCTGTGGAAAATGTTGTGTAAATATTTACTGGGCATACCAAAATCTCTTTCGGGTTGGAATTCAAAGACTTATCATTTGAAAAAAATATAGATATATATAAATTTAGCTCAGCGCGAGCTCTAGGCATCGAACGCAGATTAAATGGATATCCTATGTTTAGCTAAAAAAAAAAGAAAATATCGATTCATTATTTAAAAATATATTTTTATATATTTATTAATTTATTCATATTATTTATATTATTTATCTATATTATTTTTTATTTGCATTTGTAATATAATTTATTTTATGGCATTTCGATCTAACATGGTCCACATAAAAAATATCGATTTTTATTTAATACTTATATATATATTTATTTAACATATTAGTAACACATTTTTAGGCTGTTAAATAAATTTATTATTAAAAAATCAATCACCTGTCAAGCAACAACAACAATTAATATTAATCAACAAAAACGATCAATGAAAGCCATAAATTGATTTCTTAAATTTTACAAAATAAACGCAAATGTGAAATTTGAATCTAAATCTCAATCTGAAGCGTATCTAAAAATCAAGCTGGTGACATATTTGCGCTCAGGCTTTAGCAACAATACTGTTTAGATTTAACTAATAAACTAGATAATGAAATTTCGCTGATTGCAGCGTAAATAAATAAATACATATAAATGTGCTCAATATTTGCATTAACACAATATAATTTTACTTTATTTTTTATCAAATACGATAACAAATTATCAGCCCAGCTGATTACTCAACGGTAATTACATAAATATATGCATAAATAGTCATAATAAAATTACCTGACTGGCATTTGTGAGCAGAAAATTATGTAAAATACGCTCAACTAATTTGAACTGTAACAAAACGCCAAATAAATATCAATTTCCATATGTTAAACTTTTTTGCAGCTGTTCAGTTCAGTTTGGGTAATCGATAAAAAAAAAGCGTAATGCAAATCAAATTAAATGCAAAATCATCATGTGCAGCAATTTGGGCAATTGCAAAAAAATAGATATATGCAAGCGTAAAGCAGGTGTGTACGACGGCCAGATGCCCTGTATCTGTGCCCTGTAACCAGGACCCTGTACCTCAGTTGCAGTCGCAAACGTGCTATCTTCCCTTTAAGCCTGTGCAAGAAGCTACGTACCAAATTCCAAGTCCTTAGCTCTTGTAATTTTTGATATTGAAGAGTTCCTTCAAATTGACAAGGAGCTAGACAGACAGAAAGATAGGTTGACAGACGAACAAGGTCTAGTCGACTCGTTTGTTGATTTGTAACAGAAATATTTGTATATTTATCTGGTGTATCTCATGGGATCCTTCATCTGTTACAAATAACTTTCATTAATTAAAATACCCTCTTTAATCGGACTTGCACTGGGTGCTGAATATAAAAATGAAGAAAATTGCAACAGAAATGGCGCTTGGGAGCGCTTGCAAGGCGTGGCATGAGTCAAGCAAAAATTATAATAATTACGGCATACCTGCAGGCGGGCCTATAAAAGTTACCTGTCCGCAGTCGGGCACAAATAGTTGAGCACCAAATATGCTTGAGGATATACAATTCATTTACATGAACGTTCGCATCCTGCGCTTCTGGGCGCTGCTCTACGATAAAAATGTGAAACGCTATTTGTGCATCACGCTGAGCATCCTCCATGTCCTTACACAGCTGCTGTACATGTTCAGCACCAACGAGGGCATCACGGGCATTATACGCAACTCCTATATGCTGGTGCTTTGGATAAATACCATATTGCGGGCCTGTTTGCTGCTGTACGATCAGGATAGCTACATCCAGCTGATTGACAATGTAAGAGCCTACTACCATGAGCTGGAGCGTATGAAGGATAATTATATTGAGCGACTCTTGATCCAGCTCAATCGGCAGGGTCGGCTAATGGCGCGCGGCAATCTGTTCCTTGGCCTGCTCACATGCATTGGCCTTTGTCTATATCCGATTAGTTTCAATGAGAGAGGTGAGCTTTGAGTGACTTAAAAGTGCCTAAAAGTGCAGACAAGTGCTTGAATTAATCTTAGCAAACTAAAAACCTTAAATGTGAATAATGTGTGAATAATAGCTAAAGCTTCAAAACAATGCAAGCTTTAATGTGCTTTCAAAGTTAACTTAATTTATCTGCTCGGCAAGCATTAATGTGTTTTGAAAGCTGTGAATAAAAATATCACAAATATTAAAGCGAATTGTAAAGCGAACTAGTGCAAGCACAACTTTGGATAAATCGCAGAAACTTGAAGCTTTAAAAGCCCTTTTTATTTGAAATTTAGTTCAAACTTCAGAGCTTTGCAAGCCCTTATGTGCTTTCAAATAAAAAGGAGTATAGAATTTAATTACCATCAGAAAAATATGTATTTTAGTATATGGACGAAATGGTACCCTAAAATCTGACATGTTCATGGGCCTAAATTTCCCTTTCTCACGATATTAGCCACTTTGTTAATGTTTTGACCCTTACAATCATTTGGCTTTCAAATCTGGCAAGATTATATTTGGTCCAATTTCATGTGAAAAGAAGCTAAGAAAATAGGGACAATTTAGTTGTACCTAAAACTTGTATGTGCTCAACGTATTTTAATACCTGGCTATTAAGCTACTTTGTATAAGTAAAAATTTTCAGCCTGTTTATTATTCATGCAATGCCTTTAATTGAATACCTGTACCAAATGCAGTTCCACTTGCCGCAAATCTTTGCTTGTCTGGAGTGAAAAGCTTAGGTGCCACTTTCACGTAATGTCATAGGGTCTGGCAAATGTAATTGCTTTGTGTGTACTTGCAGTTATGCCCTTTGGCAGCAAAATACCGGGCGTGAATGAGTATGCCACGCCCACCTATCAAATTTGGTTCGTCTTGCAAGTGCTTATCATACCGATGGGCTGCTGCATGTACATACCCTATACCAGTCTCTGTGTGGCCTTCATCATGTTTGGCATTGTGATGTGCAAGTCGCTGCAGCATCGTTTGCGTTGTCTGAACCGCAGACCCCTCAACAGGCAGGAGCTCTCGCAGGAAATAATCGAATGCATTATCTATCACCAGCGGATCACAGAGTAAGCTATAGAAATGGTTGTGATCTTGTGGTACTGAACGAACCCTATCTAGTTATGTGCAAACCATCAATAAGCTGACTACTTATATATTTCTCGTGGAGTTTTTGGCCTTCGGTGCGCTGCTCTGCGCATTGCTCTTTATGCTCATATTGGTAAGTGTATCTCAAAGGATTTTCCATGCACTCTTGGCAGCCTTTTGTGCTTTCTATAGATGGACACCACGGCACAGGTGGCCATTGTGAGTGCGTACATAAACATGATACTCGCCCAGATATTGGCCCTCTATTGGTATGCCAATGAGCTAAGGGAGCAGGTGAGCCTTTGCCTTGGTCCTTGCTGCTTTATGCTTGATTTTAATATATCTTTCAGAACTTGGCCATTGCCGGGGCAGCGTTTGAAACCGATTGGTTCACCTTTGACCTATCACTGCGCAAAGATATACAATTTATGATGTTGCGTGCTCAGCGGCCAGCATCGGTGAGACACTTAGATAATATAAACACTTGACTACTGCATCTAATTAACTTGAATACTTGACTAATGCAGATACTCCTCGGCAATATACGACCGATTACATTGGAGTTATTTCAGAATTTACTAAATACATCTTACACATTTTTTACGGTACTTAAACGTATTTACGGTTAAAGTGTATTGCAGGAAAACAATTTTTGAAAAAAAAACAATAGATATTACGCATACGACACGTGCGCCGCAAAATATAAGTATACAAATATAAATCTATTTTTTCATTAGTTTCCACTTTTAAGCAAGAGAAAGAACATTTTAAAATATATAATACGCATACGATACATGTGCCGAATGTTATAAGTATATAAACATAAACCTTTATACTAATCAAGTCATTAAATGAAAATAGAAATACTATTTTAAGTACATAAACTTAAATGAATTACTTCATTAATGACACCTTTTTATTATTATTCATGAACAAAAATAAGTATATAAACGATAATAAATGTTTTCATTAGCGAACACTTTTCATTATTTAAACAAATAAAAAAGAGTAAAATATTTTTTTTTTTAATTCAATTATTAATATATGTTTCAGCTTATTTAAGTTATTACTTTAAAATTGTAATTAATATTAATTTTTTAATATTATCAATTAAATTTAGTATCAAGAAATATGCTAACCACTGTTCACACACAATAAATATTTGAATGATGCATTATTAAACAGTTATTGCTCATTGCTTTTAATAAATAAATAAAACTAACAAAACAGCTTTGATTTAATTAAATTAATGGCTGTAAAAAGCGTGTTTTATTACATGGAAAAAAAAAACATTTAATTTGCCAGACACTTTTGTTATCAATTTTTTGTTTATTTTATTTAAATTAATACAAAAAAATGCTCGCACATTTTGTTGCGCATCATTTGCGGTTGTCGCACAGTTCACGCGACGTTTACATTTTTTTTAATTTTATTTTTTACCTCTCACGCTGATAGCAAAAAAAAAGAACGCATAAAATTGTAGTAGGTGGGCAAGAGAGCGATAAAAAATGTTTGCTGAAGTTGTCAACGCTGAACGCGATGCTGAATTGTCCGCAAACTTTGCACCACACTCTGACTTTGAGTGGCATGCCCCAGCACCACCTGCGCCAGCAGAGGACTTGTAGGTGCCAGCAGAAAAAAAAATAAATAAATAAATAAGCTGTCAGCAGCTGCAACTGGGAGAAGCAACAGTCGAATACATTTCAATTTAAAATAATTAGATTTAAGAAGAAGAACAAATAGAATTTTTTAGAAAAATCTTTAAAAAATTTTCTCTATTGAATAAAATAATTATTTTCTTTAAGATTTTAATAATATCTGAAAAAAATATTTTTAGTTATATTGTCGTTTACATTTTTTTGAATCAAAAAAAGGCTAAATAGAATGTTTGAGATATTTAAAATTCAGTCAATAAATCTATTGAAAAATTGTTCAATATTTTATATTAAATAAATTAGGTCCTCAGCATGCAGTAAATCAAGGTTTATTATTCATGGCGCATTTCAATTGTATTTGATTTTTACCATATTAAAGACACTTAGTAGAAACTGAAGCCGACTATACCACTGCTGTCATAGATCTCGTTGATGGAGCACAGATTGATGAAGGCCGGATTGCGTCCGGTGCGGCATTCCGTTGCCGGCCTATCGCCGCTCTTATAAACAGGGGCATTCACATCGTTGCCCCGGACAAAGTTGCAGGTCATATACTGATGCGTGCTGACCAGCGATTGGCCGGCATTGTTGCTGGTGTTGCGCGTCTGCCGGAGTATGCCGCAGCCCACATGGGTGGTGCTGTCCCGTACCAGTTGTGTGAAGTACGCAATGCACTTGCTAACCCGTAAATGCAAAATTCTTTGAGATTCAAACAGCAACAAAGGCAGGAGCAGTAGCCGTATGCCGGGCTATGTGTGCACGTAAGGATGGAGCTACAGTGGCTTACCTGTTAGTGGGCGGACTGTATGCAATAATATCGCGCATGCTGCACTCCTTGTACTCGGCAAACATTTGCTCCAAGGTGGCCTTAATCACCTCGTCCTCGGTGTGGTATTCAACGGGTGTATCTGTGGTGCCAGCATTTGCGCCACCACTTGGCGTACCTTGCCAGCCGCCCTCGGCCACAACCTGGGCGACATTGCGAAACTGATCGCTGTTGCGGCAATGATCATTAACCAGAGCGCAGCGCTTCACATTCAGCTCCGCAAAGCTGGCCAGCTCCGGATCCCATTGGAGCGTGGCCATGCGCGTGGCCGGATTGAAGCCCATCAGATCTCCGCGCGCAATCCGATCGCGATATTCGTTCAGCTCGTTGAGAATCATGTTGCGCCTAGCTTTGGTAATGCGCACCACATGTGCATCTGGACTGCAGCTCTCCGCCAGCTCCTGTAAATTGTTCCCAGACGGTAAGCATGTTGACATCGCAGATTAAGTGCGCAACAACTTACGCCAAAATTGTGGCAGGCAATGTGCTTCTCGGGCCCCGGACACAGCACAGGATCACAGTAGTCAAAGGCCAATATGCTTGGCCAGAAGCACAGCTGCCACAGCGCTGCCAGCAGCCAGTTAGTGCACAACATTTCGCTTACGCTGGCCATTTGGTCGGCTCTGGCAGCAACGCACAGTCTCTTATAGAGTTGGTTCGCAAATCGATTTGTCGCCAAAGCGTGGCTATCTGACCAATTCCGCCAGCCCAGCCGATTGGCCACGTACCCCACGTATTGGTCATGGCCAGCCCACTTAATAAAAAGATATGTCAGTTCGTATATTTGTACCCTACTAACATATCAGATTTATTTGTTTCTTTCTTAGTTTTATTCTTTCACCCATTTAATTTGTTTTATGTTTTATTTTCTTTACTAATATTTTTATTATTCTCTCTTTTCTCTCTTTTCTTGTTGTTTTAATGCAACGCTTCTATTCTTTAAGCTGCATTTTTACATTCTTTTTTTCAATCTTTTCTCAACTTCTCTAATATCTTTCTCATGTTTCTCTACTCAATTTATGATGCTTTCTTAACTTCTTCCAATTTCGCAAGTTTATTTATTTTCTTTCATGTGCTTACCTTCTTTCTTCTACCGTTAAACTTTGTTTTTCCGTTAACGTTGCTTTCGTTCTTCTTTCGCTTAACTTCTTGCTATTTCTCAAGCTCCTTCATTTTCTTCCATTTACTCACCAATTATTCATATTACTTCTGATTTTGTTAAACTTTTTTATTTTCCAATTCTTTTTCTATATTCTTCCATATGCCCACAACATTCCTTCTTTCTCCTTTCGCTTTACTTCTTCCTATTTCCCAAGTTCTTTCATTTCTTCCACATATTCCCACCTATTTTTCACCCACATTCGTGTTTTGTTAAGCTTCTTCCTTTTTCTCAGTCTCTTTAACTTCCTCCATAGCTCCAGCTTCCTCTTTTTTTTCTTCTTCATTTTTCGGTTCCTTTGGCTCTTCTTCTACATATTCCTTTTCCCTTAGCTCTTTCAATTTTTTTTCTGCAGCCAACATTTCCAGCGGATAAGTTTTCTCATCCTCCAGATAATTTGTTTTCTGACATGGTGCGGCTACTGCAGGCGGTGGCGGCGGCGGCACAAAATTATAATCGACCACCTCTTCCGCACTGCACAAAAATTGGTATATGCGATCCCTTCCAGCGGTGCAACGACTTCCGGGCACCTCGTCGACCTCATAGTGCGGCATACCATTCACATTGGCGCGAGATAGATTGCAGATGAGATTTGCCAGGGCTGTTTTCTTATTTTTTTCATCCTTTGACAAGCGTATCGCACAGCCAATGCGATCGCCATAATCCTGTATCAAAGGTATATAGTGGCCCACGCAGGAACTATGAGTAAATTGTATTTTATTTAAGAATTGAGTATATTTAGTATATGAATACCTTGGGTATTTAAAAGAATAATATATGGCATAAGAATAACCCATAAGCGTTAGTATTTTTATAAGCATAAATAAATTAATTCAATTAAATTAAGTCCTTCAGCATCTAATCAATTTTCAATTAAATATTTTAAGTACATTAATAGGAATTCAAATAAATACCGAATATGGTATGTATTATATATTAAATTGGTTTTTAGAAACTTAAATTAAAAATAAATAAAAATAAACTCTAGCAATTTAAATTTGCTGATTGTAAATATCGATCTTACGCACTCTACGATCGATTATGCCTATCGATACTTTTTTACTTGATAAAAATATTCATAAAAATTGTTTATCGATCAAACCGATATTTGTGACTATCAACTATCGTATGACTATTCACAATGAACTTTTTGAACTAATGTTAAGTAGAGGTTTGCTTGATTTAAATTATATTGAACTATATAAATGTGCACTTACCCCTCGAACATTGGTACAATTACGTTATTGGCATTCATGGTACAACCCAGCAGGTCATTAAACCATAAGGCCAGAAAAACACGAGTAATTTCTTTGGATAACTTAGCCGACCGTTTTATGGTGCCCGAAAACAGTACCGTCGAGACAAAGTTATACGTATCCGAATTCGAACATAACTTGGAATGCGTGCAGTGATACGCCAACATATGCGTTGTATTTTCCAGATAACTATCCCAGGACAGGATAGGCATACGGGCTGCCGCCTTCAGGTTAAACAGCCCGCTGGCCATCATATTGCGCATCATATTCACATGCTGGAGCAGGTTCTGCCTCAGAGCACCATTCACTGGTATGATTTCATGTGTCATAACTCCGCATTCTTTGCCAAATGTCTGAAATATCGTTTGGAAGTAATGCTCGCTAACGGACAGCTCTGAACAGCATTTACCTTTTTGTTTAGGCAGACCACATGGGTGGTGCCTGACGGGCAATGTTGCTGCATGTCACAATTATCCCCGATAGCCAAATCGAGCATCAGCAGCAACATCGGTGGCAGCAGCAAATTGTATTTCATTTTATTAGATTTAGAGCTTCTTGCGCCGACGTGGCAATGAATATTAAAACTAAAACCTCATGAGCTGATTAAATTTATATTAGCTTGACAGGGGCGTGTCCAAAGGATTTAACATCGATTGGTTACACTTAGCTGCAGCGCATTTATCTGATGATCCATGGCATGTCCAAGATCAGCCACGAATTTCACAGTGTACACTGTCTAACATGGCACTCAATTTCACAATATGTTGCCTTACAAGAAGTTATTTCTTTTGACCGATTATATATATGATGTAGAAGTGCGATCCTAAAAAGATTTGGCTTCACAAACGGATATTTATTCTGATCTATATGTTTTACATATACCTTACGTTTTTAGTTCTTCTAGAAGCTTGGGAAAAAATTGAATACAGATTTCAAATATAAATAAACACTAAGCGGTTTGTAGTTAAACCTTATCTGTACCTACAATATTTCATCATGGTCAATTTTCGTTTTTTGACATTTGTCGATTTTTGTTTACATATACCAAAAAAATAGTTGTTCTTTGGCTTCTTCAGGCTTTGATCTATCAAATCGATACACAAATTTCCACTTTAAACTTTGCTTAACACAAAACTCTGAATGATAAGACATATTTTCTTTATATATCTATCGTCAGCATATACATATGTATGTATATTTTTAATTTGACAAACCTGAGCATAAAGCTCAAAACGAACTGACAACAATTGTAACATATATATCCATATTAATTAAAAATAACTAAATAATCACATCGAGCATAATTTCTAGTTAAATGGAAATACACAGAAATATGCATAAAATTACATAAATATGTGCATTTCACTTTTTTATTATAAATACATTTTTTTTTCTTTTTTTCTTTTGTCTTTTACGGTATCGTAAGTTTTTTTTCTCTCTTAAGGTAGCTATATAAAGTTATATAAATTAAAATTATGTTGCACTTATTGCATGTACATCACATTCAGTTGTGAATGACTTAAGAAATTGTTGTTGTGTTTTGAATACAATGAATACAAATATATGGCTCTTCACTTTGGTAGCTTCGGACACCCCAATTACGCCCCAAGGGCAAATGGTGTATAATGATCTAATACAATATAGCTAATAATTTAAAGCGATTCTAAAGCGTATGTATATATCGAATTGTGTATTTTATGTGTGAGTTGTAAACAGCTCGGAAATGCGCGCGACAAGAAATCATAAACAAATAACAACTGTCCAGACAAAACTGACAGACTCTGCTTATTGTGCATAGTTGGGATTGTAGGGCATTTGCTTCTCATAGCCGCCGGGCATAACACTCGGCCCGGGATTGGCCATGGCCATGTCGTACGATGGTGGATTCATGTTTGCCGCTGCAACGCCCGGCTGCGGCATGGGCGGATATGCGGCAACATGCGGTGACATGCTGCAATTAAACATAAATTGTTAGTGAGTTGTGGCTCCTGTATATGTGCCAACTTACCCAGGCATCGGTGGCTGTGCTCCAGGCATGTGCATGGGCATCGGCATCTGTACGCTCACATTGCTAGGAGGAGGGAGCAAAAGGAATACGTACATATAGCATAAGCTGGCATTAAATTTCGGATGCTACTTGCGCAGTACTTACCCCGTGTTCTGGGCGGGATACGCTGTTCCATAGGCATGAGGCTGATAGGTTGTGGCCGGAATCTGTGTAACAGGATAGCCGCCAGGCGCTGTGTGCGTGGCCGATGTAACCACAACGGGCGCTGCAAGTGAAAAGAATTCGTAATCGAAATTAGAATCAATTTGCAATTCAATTAAACGAAACACAAATTAAATAAGCTCTTAAGTGATTGGGTTTTAAGTGTTGATATTTGTTTCTACTATTAACCAACGCCTTAGCCTAATACTTGCCCCGAGTCGCGATCGCCTGTTTACGGCGTGTTAGATGCACAATACACGGAATAATGAATACTACAATAAAAAATACACTAAAAACAACTATAACCCAAGCTGGCATCTCGTAAATCGGATTCTCACTATCGACAAGCGTCGACTTTGCGTTCAGAATGAAAACTGCTGTTGGCCGCAATCAGCGGCATCAAAATACTCGAACACTCTTATTTATAAATTGATAAGCCAGCAAGTGCCATATAAACGTCGATACCCTGTGCCCGGTTCAATGGACACTTACCCAAGACATAACAACTATTCAAATTATTGAGCAATGATCTATAGAGAAAATATAATTTGTCAAAAATGTGATTCCCAATTTTAAACACATTTATTGTCTTCAAACGAATTTTAAATTGTTTCTATTAGTAATATGTTTATATGTGTATATATATTCTTGATCAGCCTCAATAGTCGAGTCGATCTAGCTATGAAAAACCTTTTCAAGTCTGCCGACTATATTATTTTACATTATTATTTTTAATAGAAAATTTTAAATATACAATTTAAGTACTTTTGAGCCAGCTAATGCGTATTTACTAGTCGAGCATTCACTTTTCCTATTGTTATCTTGGGCTCTTGAGTTGTTTAAGCCAATCGAAAAGTGGCTAACAGAATAGAAAGTCATCCGACAAGCACTTGTAAGTTAAACACTTAATATAAACTTGTTGTCACTTTTTTCAAAATTAAGTTGCATTTACACCATCTGTCACTAGGCAGCAAAACATGACTAAAACTCAAGCAAATACTTAGGATTATTCTCTTTTTAAGACAGTTAACTAGATTTTACCATTGCAGGCGAGTCGCTTCTTTTTATTCTTAGTGTGTACATACGCGGCTGCACAGCAAACAATTTGCATTGCCAGAAACACACAAAAACAAATAATGCCAATTACAAAACCCTCCATCGAAGCAGGCAACGCGAAAAAAGCCGAAATTAAACTAACTTCCTATAGAATTGTATTCGGCTTGTTGTTGATTGGATCAGAATATTTGGCTGATAGGCAATTCGAGATAAGCTAATTTCTAGATAGCATTTTTAATGGGGGGTTTACCACATTTTCGAAAATGTTCTATTATTACAATCATTTCGTTTTTGCACGAAATTAAGTTACATTGCAGGAAAACCAAAAATATATTATAGTTTTTCAAAAAAAAACCTTTATGACTTTCCATACGAACGATAGAAAATTGTTTACACTGGAAATATAAAGTAGTTACTTTATAATATAGTATTAAAGACAACACAGAAGAATTTGATCATAGTTTACCAATTCGAACGAGTCTTTTTCTGTTTTTCACATACACAGTTGTAAAACAAGCTATTTGGAATATGACAGCAATGACAAATAATATAATGCCAATAACATAACCCTCCATTGCAGCTAATAAAAAAAACACTGATACTCAGTCTTTAAAATCAAAATATGAACTAACTGCCTATCGAATAGTTGGAATTGGCTATAGTCACAATACTAACGTGATTTTACTGATAAGTAATTAGAGATACGCTAAATAAATTACGGCGGGTATTTACCAAGGGCTTTCTATAAATATGTTTATGCACAGATCTGATGCAAAGGCCATTAGAAAGTGAGAGAAAACGCAAAAATATGAAAAGCAATCAGAGTTTTTATCTATAAAACTCCATAGCTTACGCAAACAGTGTTGCAAAGCGCGCAAATCAACTATTTTTAATACTAATTGAAAGTGTTGGACAGTGAAAAGTGCACGAAGCTATCGCTTAAACAGATAAACATTTACATGAGCCTTTATAAATAGAAGGGAAATTACACGAGCTGCAAATATTATCTTTCACATTTGCACATATCATCCCCTTATCGTCTGTTATCAATTACACACGCATACATGCACATATAGTGTATATAAGTATATATAAGTAGGAAAAGAGACTTCATCACTTTGACAGACCTGCGCCCTTCATGAGCTCCGCTCGACGATTGCGTCCGCGTGTCAAGAAAACCGCGCACGAAGTCAAAAAGAAAATGGATAATGTAAAGAACAATATCCAATAAATGCCGGCATTATCCATGGCTTATTGAAGAAATATCAAAATATAACGATACGCACTACGCAGCCAACGCGCTAAGACTAACAAAATGCATGTTCAAACCAAAGCGATAACAAATTGCACAAGTCATCCAATGAATTGCCAGTTCGGAAGGCAAATAATATAAGGGCAATCTCGAGAATCGTAAAGATAACTACACGGTTAGAAAACGTGGTCTAAATTTTAGTTTTTCAAAAGAAAAAAAAAACTGTCAATTTGTCAATTAATTTCAACAGATACTTTCTAGTAAAAGAACATTTTACCCAAACATATTTTTGAACTACTTTTAAATATCGACTAATAATATATCCTTAATTTTTTTTGTGCAGGTGTTTCTATATTTTTTGTACCGAAAAATACTTTTTCAGTTTTAAATACATTTGCAAAACTTTAGAAAATATCAGAGTTCTACTTTTGATTTTTACAAACATTTTGAATTGAAAGCTTTCAACTTGAATTTGGATTTTCTCAATTTTTCATTTTAATTAATCTCTTCAAAATCGTAGGTGCAACCCCAACTTGTGAACTGTTTAAATAACTTACCCAGATTAGACAAAGTCTTAACGCGTCGCTGACTGCGTTTATAATGCACAAGATAACTGACCGATCCGAAGATCAGGCTATAGCAGAGCATCTTGAGAAGCACCTTGCAGATGCTTATTAAGACAATGATGTGAGGACTATAAGTGTGAACCGTAAAGTCCGCATTAACCGTATAGTTGTGCATTTTCAGGCAGTCCGAAAATAACTAAAGCCAATTTTATAGCTATTGAGATAGTCCAAGCGATTAATTAACTTATAGTTCTATATATCTGTTGAGCCAATGCATAAGCCATTAATTTTATGAAGCACCATTTATAAATAATTATCATAATAAATGCTTTTAATACCTTTGAGTGGTTCTTGAGATTAGCTCGAATTAGTTATAAACTGAGCATTATGAGGTCAAGTGGAATATGTGTCTTTCTCTCTCTCTCTGTCTCTCTTTCACTTACTCCCTCTCTCTCCATATTTCTCTTACTCTTGCACTGTCTCGTTCTCTTACTCCCTTTCTTGTAGGCTCTCCAATTTCCCTGCTTTACTTACACATCCAGTTCTTCTTCTTTTATTTATTTAATAAAAAATGTTATTTTATCAAAACTTTATTATGTTAACACTTTCACGGACTGCAATTTCTTTTGCTTTTTCAACACTGGAATTTGGTGCTCATCCCGTTCTACAAACCAGGCATAGACAATGGCCAGAGCGCTAAGTGCTACCAATGCGAGCATTTCGTATATCACATATTTCCAATTCAGATGCATTCGCTCGGTCATAAATGACCAATACTCGATTTCGAAAACAGTTGCGTTCATGTCGAAAGCGTAACTCGAACTCCAGCGATTCATCCAATCGGCATATATATATATACATATATATATCAAAATATGTCACACTGAGCTCACGCTTTGAATATATTTATTGAGTTATTGTCGCCCATTTGATTAATTTGTACTATGATTAGCTAATACCTTTCGTAGAACCCTTCAAATTTTGATAGGGTATATTTAATAGCCAAACAAAAACTTTCATATGCTTAAGAGCATGCCTTATCTTGTAAAACTAACAAAACTATCCTCAAATTTAGTTGTATATACACATTCTACTAACTTGAATCATCATCGGTGATTTCTATATCCGAATCATGTTCACGATCATCAATCTGAAAGTGATTTTCTTCCATGCAGGGACTGCAACAATATTCCGTGCCGTAACGCAGCATAGATGCAATTATAAGAACAGCAATAATAGCGTAAAGACCGATTTCTCTTGGATCAGACACCATACAGAACACTTGAGAGCAGCGAAACGACTAAACAAGGTTTTTATATGGAAGTTGAATGTGCTAGACAGATTGTGATAGTGGTTAACATATATGCAGATTACAAGTTTCAACAATATATATATTTAAAGAGGTAAAGATGATTCAGGGCTGATTTAATCAGCACAAATATATATATAGGGGCTTTCATATAAATCTTTAAAGCTCTAAGGTTCTCTGATATTATTTTACGCAATATTGTTTCACATATAAATAAAACTGGAGCACTATTAAAAGATGATATTATTTTACGCAATATTTTTCCATATATAAATAAAACTCGAGATGATAAAACCAGACAGAAAAATATGTAGCTAGCTTTTAGGCAAAATCTAAAAATATTTATTTTTTAAGCAAAAGCCCAGAAGTATTAAAATACAAAAATGAATTCACTGAAAAATTGTTCACGTAGTCATAGCAGCACTATAAAGTATATTAAAAGGGGAAAATATCTTCTATAATCCCAATAGATTTGCGATGATTCATGACTATAGCTTTAAGACTGAGGGACGAGTTCGTATAGCAACAGGCAGACGGACAGACATGGCTATATCAACACACACATACACACTGTAATATGGAAAATCAAACAACTCTAGTTTAAGATAAGTAAAATTTCACAAAATTAATGATTAATCTACAATTAATTAATATATAATTTATATATATTGTTGGTAGCTATAAATAATTTTAAAAATATAAGCAAGCAAGTCTTGTGCCCAGACACATATTTGTAGCTTACTTTTAGGCACGGTCAGCAGATTTTAAAGGCTCGAGGCAGTGTTGGTAAACAGCTCTCAAAAGTAATTACAATAATATTCAATAAATTATTATGATATTTATTATGTTCGTCATGATTTGGAAATATAAAACAGGGACTCATCAATTGAATCAACATTAACTACACAAGACAATGACGACATCGTGAAAACCCACAAACATTCCAATAAATAAACTGGTTTTTTTACAATCCAGCTCAAAAACCTTTTATATACAATTATAGAGGGTATTATAAATTTGCACGAAATGTGTTAAGCATAGAAGAAGACGCCATTTACCTGGGAAAGTATATATTTATTTATTATTTATCAATTTCTTTCTGTTCCTTTCTTTGAGTATATTTTACATACTCATAGGAATGATCGATTGTTTCGCATGATATCTTAACTTAATTAGGCGTTAATTATGCTTTATCATGTTTTTAACACATGATCATAATCTTATCAACCTCAACGCACTACATCAGATAGAAAGAAAATTTACTTTTTTGTTCAAGTTATCCCAATATATCGTACACTTAATAACTAGTTTCATTTAATAAGAAAAGCAGACACTCAGCAGCTTCTATTCAAATTGTATTAATATGAAATTAATATATTTACAATTATAACATGCATCACTTTGCATTTGTTGTCGACGGCGTTTACAGCAAGCTATACAATTTATACAACAGCCGGAGATTATTAAAACAACAACTAAAATCGCAAATGCGATAAAAACTCTTTCGCCCGTTTTGCCAGGAAATCTATCGGGCTTGTTGTCATGATTGATATTCATAAAACTCGGGTATTCATAAGGAGCGTTATATAAATCTGGCATTTTGTACGATCGAAACACTGCCGGAGATGAAAATCAAACGCTTTTTAATAGCACGACGCGACAATTGCAACTGAGACAAGTTCTGCTTGCAAATCGCACTTATAGTTAAGACAGGTGGGATTTCATTGAATTGGAAATGCCCCAGCTGTGAGCTAGAGCGTTATAGAGGTAGCCACAGTTGATGCGGGAAATTCTTTTTTGACAACTCATTGAGTATAAGTAAAACAATTTCTTTACATAATGCAGTAAGATGCAAGAGGTATGCTTAATGAAAAGAAAAGAAAAACGAACTTTGAGTTAACTTATAATCCTCAAATGGTTTAAGTTTAAACTCAAATACATTGTGAGCGAAAAAAAAAACAGATTACTTTGGATAAAAAGACGAATAACAAAGAGGAACAAAGGAAAAAGAGTAAATAAAAGTTTTATAAAAACGTGCATTGATCTGGATGAGCCTAGAACACAAATCTAACAAAACATGGGTATTCCAAATAACACTGGAATGACAATCTATTAAAAATATGTTAAATATATTTAAACTGAATTAAATAAATGCAAAGTGCAAAAGCACAGTACACGCTTCTTATTCAAAAAAATAGTGTTCCATTAGAAAGTTTTGTTTGAAATATTATTTGATACAGTGCACACAAAAGCCAGGTGTATGTATAATTAAATAAACAATGTACAATATTAAATAAACAATATATAGATGGCTTAACAGTGTTCAAACGCAGCAATCAAACAAATCGCAACAAGTACAGCAATCATCCTCAGAAACGGAAATCGCAGCTCCAAGCACATCACTTGAAACGCCTAAGGCCAAGTCGCCTGCTTCCAAAGCTGTAAAATTGACAAACATCAGTGGAAAGTCTCCTTAGGGAGAAGAGAGACATCATTTATCATATCTATTTTTTTGATACTTCACATTTTCTGCAGGTTCGAAAACGAAAATCACATTCACAAAGCTATGTTCGAGATGGAAAACCATATTTCAAGAGTTTGATTTCTCCAAAAATATTAGGTCCAATGGAATTCTCACTCTTTTGGCTTGTTCCCAATTCCAATTGGATATTATTTTCACTCAGGGCTTTCGAGTTTATTTAAGACCTAGCATTCGCCTGCTGCTTGCACATAAGACCGCATTAATTATAGACAAGCCCGTGACGAGGTCGTGAGCGTCCACAAACTATCATACATTAGATAAAATGCAAACTGGTTATTCGCAGCACGTTTTTCACTAGACGTTCAACTGAAAGTTTTCGCTTGCAGTTCACAAATCGCATTTTATAGAGTTTTGCTAAAATTATGTAAATATATTTACTAGTTTCAAATGCATCTTGTCGTGTTTGCTTCGATTCACGGCGATTACAGGTTAAATAACAGGCATACACTATATAGGACAACATAAAGACAAAGCAGCCCAGTAAAGCGACGATTCCCAAATTCTTTGAAAAGGAATCATCTGCATTTAAAGCACTAGCAGAGGCTAAATCTGGCATTCTAATAGAACTAGAGTAAAACAAAACTTAATGCGTCTGACTTTAACAACCTGACAAGTGCAACTGCAACAACAGCTTGTTGCAATTCAAACTGACAACATAATAGAACTATGCGCTCTCCGCGCACAGTAAATAAATAAATGAAGAAAACCCCCAATGCCAAACTGACTACTGCAACTGAGAGCTGATTGAAATTCCACTCAAACGAGCCGCATGTGAGCATTTTTCTCCGCGCTGTTTGGCTATGAGTCATACACGGGTTCAGATAGTCACAGATTATGGCTAAACAATTATTAAGAAATTTAATAACTTATTAAGTGTTTTATAAACGACAGAGTTAAAGGCAATTACAGTGAGATCAGCAGGGATTCTTAAAATTCTCAAAAGGTTGAAGCAGAGATCCAATGAAAGTGTTTGACAAACAAAAGACTCAATGTCGAAGATAACGTGGGAGGTTGAAGGTGGAATTATATGTCAACTTACAATAAAATAAAATAAAATAAAGAAAATAAAATCACATTTAACAAAACAAAGCCTTGTATAAACTTTGTTTTACCTTGCAGGAGATATAAAATCATCATTGTGCTATAGATTATTTGTATACTTCTTCTGTAGATACTTTCCTGGAAGCTGTATGTCAAGTTTTGTCACTCTAGTTCTTAAAACCTAAGAGATATGGTCAAAAAATAGGATTTTGATATCGATTCTTATCGGCACGGGGCAAGTTATCGATTATCGGAAACAAACTAATACTCTAGTAACAAGTCTCTACCTCATATGGGTTCTGAGATCGATGTGTTCATACATACGGACAGACGGGCGGACGGACGGAAAGATAGATCGACAGACGGACATGGCTAGATCAGCTCGACTATTGATTCTGATCAAGAATAAAAGCACTTTATAGGGTCGGATATGCTTCCTTCTGCCTGTACAATATACCCCTATTCAAGCATTCCAATGGGTTCAGATAAAAACAACTTGTTTAGTCAGCACAGCCATTACGAGCTGTACGTTTACATACAAACGATGCTGTGGTTATTCTAAATATCGCCTTTCTACGCGATTTTCATAAGCTCACAAAAGCATCGAGTTTTTAAATATTTGCTTTTTAAGCAAAGCAAACATAAACTGTGTATAAAATGACTTTTCTTTGTTATTTAACTTATTTATTTGATTGAATATTTATTTATACAGCCTCAGCTTGGATCACACTACTCACCGGCCTGTCGAAAGAGTTGAACATACATTTTGGCCAGAAAGCAACAGCGTATAAAATGAATGGTTGCGACTATGAAACCGGCAATGAGTATTAACACGGTCAATGGCAAAAAAGCCAGCCAATCCATTCTACACTTAGACAAATCTCATTATCTATCCGTTCAGCACACAACGAAATCACAAATGCAAATGATTTGCAGCCGAACAATCGCAATGCCTTCGACCAAGCTGAGCCAAGCAAATGGAAAAAGAAAAGCGTAAAGCAAAAAGAAAACCAGCTGCTGATAAGAAACAATGCAAGCGATAAATAGAAAATAAATGCGAAAATCAAAAACAGTTGCTGTTAGCACCGAGGATAAGCGCCAGGACCTGTTGCTCGATTCTCTATAAATAGTAGCATGCTTTTAAGCTGCAAAAACGAAAGGCGCATATATATATTTTTAGATACCATCTTGTGATTGTGAGTGTGCATGGGTGTGTATGAGTGTGTGTGTGTGTGTGTGGATAACTGGTGTAACTGACATTTGAAGAGGTCATAAATGTCAGACCCCCCCACAGGAAAATTTCACAGAATTCGCCTTTAACTTTAATCAGTTTGAAGCTCTCATTATTTGCACAGACAAACAGTTGCGACATGCAACTGAAGACTTATGCAAGCACCTGGCATAATCATAAATAAAAGCAAATCCATAATACAAAAAAATAAAAACAAGTAAGAGGTTCTAGTCGGGAGCTCCCGACTAGGGGATACCCTGAACCCTCTTCTTCCAACATCAAATGCATATATATATTCTATTTTAGAAGCTATATGTCAAGTTTGGTGACTCTAGCTCTTATTATTTACCAAAATTGCCCTAAAAACAGGATATCGATATCGATTTTTATCGGTTGCTTGGAAACGGAGGAAGTTATCGATTATCGGAAACAAACTCGATCTGTGCGGGAACTAGGAGCATCTACATCTAATTTCAAGTCTCTAGCTCTTATAGGTTCTGAGATCCTTGCGTTCAAACATACGGACGGGCGGACGGACGGACGGACGGACGGACGGACGGACGGACGGACGGACAGACAGACGGACATGGCTAGATCGACTCGGCTATTGATGCTGATCAAGAATATATATACTTTATTGGGTCGAGGATGCTTCCTTCTGCCTGTTACATACATTTGGATTTTTCACAAATACCCTTATACCCATTTTTAATGGGTTCAGGGTATAATAAATAAATAAACCAGATAGCTGAAAAGGGGGCGAGTGCTCGACTGACAGATATTGTGTGCACTTAATGCGGCGACAGCTTAGCGCTGCGTTTTATATTAATGATCAAATCTTGAGGGAATATATTTAATGAATCATTTAATAATTATCGGAATAAACGATGTATATACTTTAAATATAATAACTATGGTTAAAATCTTTGAAATTGTACATGTTTCTATAATTTCAACATTCGTTAGTTTGGCAGTAAAGCATTTTCATTGATTAAATAAGTTCATACATAAATACATATGCATACAAATAAGTGCAGATGTTCTTAGAAAATGTGTTTGGCTTGAAAATTGTAGTGTAATAATATACATCACACAGATTGTATATAAATACATTTGTAAATGCATTATATTTGAAACTAATTCGAGTATATATTATATTTGAGTAAATAAGTCACATAATGTCAGGCTTCAAAAACAACACTTGACCATTTCATCACATCCGGGGCTGTAACATTGATGAACATCAATCGAAAGCTTTCTTTACGAATGAAACATAGCTAATGCAAGCAAGAAGCAAGAAGACCAGACCCTTCTCTTTGCATGGCTGGGGCATTAAAGTCGATGGGCTTAACGCGAGCACCTGCCACGAGGGCTTAAGCTCATGGTTCTTATTACATGATTAATTTAAGCGTTAATCAACGCCCCCTTGGAGCATTATTTCCGCAGATATCAATTAAAGAAACAACTGTTTGCTTGTGTCTTTTAGATTAGTTTGCTTGTAGGCATATCTTAATCCTATTCCGATCTGTGATTCTGCGGGCTTCAGATTATAAACTTCTGGTCAGGCCTCATACCAGCAACTCCAAACAGTTAAGGGTTGGTGATCGGAATGATGAAACACTGTTGCATGGAATAGAATCCAATTGATGTGAGCCCCAAATGGAAGAGTATACGCCATGATCATGGACATGGTTTTCTCACCCAATCCTTTCTCTTCCTCCTCCGGGTGGAGCAGCAAAACAAGAAGCTTCCTCTAGTGGTTACCACATAGACACCGCCCGTAGCCGCTGACAGGCAAAATGTGAACGACTGCTCACGTCGCCAATTAACTGAGATTTGGGATATTGAAAATCTCTTTGAGATTTTGCACTACTTTCACATTATTAAAACAGCACAAAATACATTAGTCATAGATTTAAATAGTTCACTTTCACGAACAAAACACAAAGGTAATAAAATCTGCTGAAAAGATTTTTGTTAAAGGTTCACAAATATTTATTTAACAAAAGTAGCCGAGAATTCGAATCGTAACCTAATCTAATATTAATAATATGACTTATGTGCAAACAGCACGGAACTAATACAAATTTTTTGGCGTATAAACAAATTACAGATCAGTCGTATACTAACAATTGTCGATGAAGTAACCGGAACGTTGTTTACGCTTCTGAGAGATGGTCCGTACGATGACCGTCAGGATGGCCACGAGCACGATGACAAACAGGCAGATGAGGACTATGGTTGAGATTTCCAGATCCCTCTCGGTGGGCTCGTGCGCCATTGTGTGTTTGTTTGTGTTTTTGATTTATTTTGAATAAATACTTTAAAAACTATAAATTCGAATTTTTTGTTGCATTTGATACAGAGTCAAAATATGCACTTGGGGGCTACGCGTTGTGCATTTCTTTAAGGCTTGGCGGTAAATAATGCCGCATGCGTGCTTATGGCTGGTTTTAAGGCATTCGCTTGTTAACTGGGCTTGAAGCAACGGCCATAGTTGGGACGCATTTATCAGATAAGATATGGCAAGCCAAGTAGACGCTTGTGACGTCACGGCTTATAAAAACGAAAAGAAAAATATAACTGATTATGGAACCTATTCACAAACCAATACGCAGTTGACTATAATATACTAAAGTGGACACAGAATTTACAACAGCGTTTTGCGTCAATCGGCCGACGATTATATTATGCGAAACTTACTTTTTCGTTTGACCAACAAAATTTCAGCCAATTAGATTCCTTAATGGAATCTATTTGAATTGAAACCTTGACCATCTCGTATCGCCGGCGATAATCATTATTATTTATGTGGATTACCACAAAAAATACAAAAATCGCAGCGTCTACTGACGTCAACGGTGATTAACATAAGAACATAATTAATCAATTACACGTATCGAGAAAAATCAAAGCACCAGAAATGGCGAATGAACAAATTTAAAGGAAAATCATTTATACTGGAGTTATATCAATATATACAATTAAAAACAAATAAGAGGTTCTAAACGGGAGCTCCCGACTAGGGGATACCCTGAACCCTCTTCTTCCAACATCAAATGCATATATATATATATATTCTATTTTAGAAGCTATATGTCAAGTTTGGTGACTCTAGCTCTTACTATTTACCAAAATTGCCCAAAAAACAGGATATCGATATCGATTTTTATCGATTGCTTGGAAACGGAGTAAGTTATCGATTATCGGAAACAAACTCGATCTGCGCGGGAACTAGGAGCACCTACATCTAAAATTTTAAGTCTCTAGCTCTTATAGATTCTGAGATCCTCGCGTTCATACATACGGACGGACGGACGGATTGACAGACGGACATGGCTAGATCGACTCGGCTATTGATGCTGATCAAGAATATATATACTTTATGGGGCCGGAGATGCTTCCTTCTGTCTGTTACATACATTGGGATTTTGCACAAATACAATATACCCTTATACCCATTTTTAATGGCATAAATGGCATAATGGCATAAAGCATAACTTCGGTACGCCGAATATTTAATACCCTTGTTGTCATTTGCCTTACGGTTTTGCAGATATGTGAGATTAGGGAAGCTCGTCAATGCTGAGCTTGATGAAAATATCTGGGAAAACATAATCTTATGCCGTACAAAAAGTCATTTTTCGACCGTTTCTTCGTATAGAGCTATATAATATAGTAATCCAATTTTTCGATCGATTCTTCCTATAGTGCTATATATCATATAGTAATGCAATAATGATAAGATGTGGCGCACATATAAGCAGCATAGTTGAACTTATAAATGCAGAGTTTGGTCAAGATATCTTGATAAAAAAAAGTTACCCATTCAAGAACTACATTTTCGATCGATCCTATGGCAGCTATATGATATAGTATTCGGCGGTTAAATAGATTTGGATATCTGTTATATGAGGAGCATATAAATGAGGAGTTTGGTCAAGATATCTTGATAAAGTTTTCCATACAAGATCCTACTTTCGGACCGATCGTTCCTATGGCAGATTTATGATATTCTTGTGCGATCTTGATAAGATTTAGCATATATATGAGGAGCATAGTGTAACGTCTAAATGCCGAGTTTGCTCAAGATATCTTGAAAGTTTGTGATACAAGTACTTAAATTTCGACCGATCGTACATATTACAGCTACATGATATAGTAGTCCGATCCGGCCGGTTTCAACATATGTACTCCGTGCAACAGAAAGAGGGATGTATGAACAGTTACATGACTATGGTTTTAAGACTAAGGTAGAGTAACAGATGGACGATCGAACGAATTTCTATCAAACATTATATTATATAAAGAACTCTACTGTGAATTCCATAATATATATTGCTTTTAACCTTGTGAAGGGTATTCAAGAATTGAACGCAAATATTATGTGAACAATAAAAGACCAAAGTCAAGTACATGCCAATTATCATAATGAAAGCTAGTGTATAAGCTTGTGATTAGCATTAGTTAGACATCAAATTAATTGCAATACTTAAGAAAGCACGCAAGTCTTTTCGCATGAATTCTATATTTAAAGGAAGCCAAACCGATTCGATCTTGAGATTCAGACCTGGACTGACGTCAATCTACGAGCCAGGCGAAAGGTAATACAATTTTAATGCGAAATTGGACACAAAATACAAGAGTGTCAGTGATTATAAGTTAATAATCTGAATAGCAATGCAAATGACAAGAATTATTTATGTCATGTCAACGATAAGATTTCAATGTATGCCAAATTGAATTCATCGAAACTTCGAAAGCTGACGCTATCTTCGAGCTTTCAATCGAGCTTTTTACTTTGCCAAGGGTGTTCGCTTACCGCCAGTGATCACTGTAGCTGCCTGCAAGCGAATGCGACGTGTCTGAACTATCCGCAATACCACAATCAACAAACACACACAGAATATGACCAAAAGTGGTATCCAAACTGCGCAATATATGAAAACCATGCTGAAGAACTCACAACTGGGAATTGAACCCGCGCCCGACCTTTACTGTGTTCGAATGTTTCGCGTTAACTGAGGTGTATTCTTCATATTTAACTTATGCTTCATATTCAATTTAAATTTATCTATAACAAAGAAAAAAG